ATCGGATCCTTTGAAATCATTCCCTTAGCTGGGTCCTGTGGTATGCACCGCAACTCCAGCACTCATATGAGGCTGAGGCAGGAGGATCACCATGACTTTAAGGTCGGCTTGAATTACACAGGAGGTCCTAGCCCCCCAAAATCAAGCCAAACCAAAAATAAGCCACCAAAAGAACAATTTGGAGTCTTCTCAAGATCCCAACTTTGTTTATTTTCTCAGTGGTCCAGGAGACAGCATATCCCTAAGGGCAGATAGCCTTGGGTTTAGTGGCTCCTCCTCTGTCTAGTTGTGATGCAACTGTAGACAAGTTACTTCACCTCTGAACTGTATGGTTCAGGTGTGTGTGTGTGTGTGTGTGTGTTTCAGCATTGTCACTGTCTCCTTGCAGAGCTGCTCTCCTGTGGAGAGCCTTTTCTCTGAGCTACATCCCAGCCCTCTCTGGGTTGCTGCTGAGGAGGCAGCCTTGGGTATTGATCAAGTTGCCAGGCTGGCTCAAACTTGCCATCCTCCTGTCTCAGCCTCCCAGAGTGCTAAGATTACAGCCACTCACCATTGTGTGCAGCTTCCAGAACATCTTTGTCTTCCTGTCAGCAGCCTCTGCCCACCACTGATTTGGTCTCTGTCGCCAGGGATTTGTCTGTCTGGACATAGAACCACGCGATCCGTGTTGTTTTGTGCTATTTTTTAGACTTCATCCGTGTAGCCTGTACGGTTCCTCATTCCCTCACTGCCCAAACCGAATTTCTCTTGTTCATTCTTCAAGGCTATCTGGGTGACTTTCCAATAGGCTTTCACATGCGCACCTGCGCTCTTCATTTCTTTTGGGGACAGGCCCCGGGCGAGCTGCTTGTTGTGTTTAAAGCCGGCCTCTGACTTATCTGGGAGTGGCTGTGTTCTCCACGATGGCCACGCCCTGAGCCAGCCGGAGCTCCAGGCCACAGGTGTTTCTGTCTGGCTTTGTGTGAACCATCGACCTGCGTGTCAATTTGGATTTCTCTAACCCTGACTGATAGCATCCCCTCTTCTTGGAGAAAAATCTACTTAAATCCTTTGCCTCTTTTTTTTTTTTTTTTTTTTTTAAATTATCGGTACCGGGGATCGAACTCACGACCACCTGCTTGCAAGGCAGGTGCTTATGCCACTGAGCTAAATCCCCAGCCTCTGTTTTTGTTTTTTGTACCAGGGATCTAACTCACAACCTTGTACTTGCCAGGCAGGCGCTTATACCACTGAGCTCCCGACACCCTCCTTTGCCCATATTTTTAATTGGGTTATTTGCCTTTTCACTGTTAAGTTGTAAGAGTCCTTTAAGTGTTCTAGATTTTAGCTTCTTATCAGACATGGGGTGAATGTTTCAATTTTTAAAATTATCACAGTAAGACAAGTCGCCATGAATCCCCTTCCAAATACCCCCCTCTCCTCTGTGTTGAACACACTTAGCCCCCATCCCCGCCCTCTCTACATCATTCTGCACTCCTCCTTGAGCATCTGGGAGGTGCAATTAAAAGAACTGGTGACAGCAGCTGCCAAGCACCATCAATGGTAAACGTGACCCTTTGTCTTCACTGCCTCGTCACCAGATCTGGCGCCCGGCACCTTAGGTCATCCCAAATTCAAAGTCACCATGAAAGGAAGCGTCCTGAAGTGATGCAGGGTATCAAAGCTGCAGGACAGCGCAACTGAAGATACTCGGGAGAGGACTTCAGCTCAGCTTCAGGAAGTGGTGGGAACGGAGGGCTGTGTGTGAGGGGATCTGAGGGTTAATTCCAGGTGTCTTTTACTGTTTATATATACATTTTAAAATTATTTATTTTTATTTTTTTTGAGACAGGATCTCACTGGCCTCAAACCCAGTGATCCTCCTGCCGCAGCCTCTCAAGTGCTTGGGTTTCACACCAGAGGCTGCTTTCCCTTTGCGTGCTTTTGAGCTCCTTACACTGCAGCACTCCTGACAGCTAAGCCCTACTCCCCGCAAGCCTGTGTAGTTTTCAGTGTGACAGTCTGTACTCTCTTGGTTAAATTTAGTCTTAAGGATTCTGTTTCCCTTTATGTTATTGTGGGGCTGGGACATAGCTCAGTGGCACAGTGCCTGCCCAGTGTTACAGTGCCCGGGATGTTTTTCTCTCTTGTCCTGGGCATCACACTCAGAACGTGCTGAGGGCCAAACCCAGGTCCTTCTGCGTGCTGAGCAGCAGCGGCCCTTCCACCGAGCGACCACCCCAGCCTTCCTGGTTTCATCTGGGAGCTGCCACTTGTTGCTAGTGTGCAGAAAGCAGCTGCTTTCTGTATAGGGACCTTGTTTCCTGTGACCCTACAGGCTCTGGAGGTGTGCGCGCATGTGTGTGTATGCGTGTGCAAGCACACCCTTCAGGGTTTTCTGTTCGAGGTGTTGCCTCTCTGCTCATGTGAACACTTCTGCCGTCTGTGCTGTCACATCCGAAGGAAGGCAGCGTCTCATCTGCTCTCAGCAGGGAAACACAGATCGTTTTCTGCCTTGCTTCGCAAACCCAGTGCCTCATCTTTCTGTCATCCTGACCAGGATCTGCAAGGCGACACCACGAGAGGTGTGGAGGCCAGCGAGCCTGCCCTATGCTGGCCTTCTGGAAACGCGTCCTGTCTGGGAGCCATCAGGGTGAGGCAGCTGCTGGTGGCCTGGACACCCTTTCTTAGGTAGGGTGACAGGCCCTGTGCCCAAGGACTAAGTGGTCTGTGAAGGAATGCAAGCCTCCGCGCCCACATGTGAAACAGGGATGCCTGTCCCTGCTCTGTGAGGTCTTCAGGGCATAAAAATGGGGGGGCAGAAAAATGCCTAGCACGGGGTCTGCATATGTGTGCTGCCAGCCTGAGGGTGGGGGCTGCCACCGGACGCGCCCAGGCATGTTATGTAACCCTGGTTTCCTTATCTCTGTGCCAGGCTGATGGAAGTCTGCTCTATCAGGGTAGGTAGTGGCAGACGTGATTTAAACTGCGAACTTCTAAAGCTGCATGACAGATGACTGATAACAGGAGAAGGCGCTCTTGACCTCAGGCTGGGGTGAAGATGCAGAGGGGCCACAGGACTAAGCAGAAAGTGGCATGTGATGCGACCCTGAGTGTGGAAAACAGCACTGAGGGGATTTGAGGTGCACGGTGGGGTGGGCCAGGTCAGGTCACCCACAGCGGCTTCGAGGTGGCATGGGGGTGGGGCGGGATGGCTAAAGTGTGGCTCCAGGGTCTGCAGTCCGGGGTCACCACAGCCAGGGCTGGTGTCCTGCTGAGTGTGGAGCCAGGGCTGGGGGACTTCATTCTGGAAGAGCAGAGAGCACATTAGAAGACTTTCTGTGGTGGCAGGAGTAGGAGAGGAAGAGTTTCTGAAAGGTGTGGGTGGTGGGGCATGGCAGCACACACCTGAAGCCCAGATCCTTGGCAAACTGAAGGCTGTCTCAGGAGTCCTAGGGGCAGCTCTGCCCTCTGCCAGCCTCTCCAGGGCGTGGGAGGGCCGCTGTGGGCTACTCTCCAGGGAGACCCACAGCTGGGAGTTGGGGTGTGAGGGAGAGCCGGCTGGCGGGGATGCCACGCCGCCAGGGCAGGGCTCTGGATGGCGGCAGGAGTGAGAGAGGGAATGAGGTGCAGGTCACTGACTTCACGGGGCAGTTGTCACAGTCCATGGGGAGACGTGTTACCGCATGGCCCACAGATGGGCGCCAGGGTACCAGGGCGCTGGACCCACGTGGACTTGTCCGGGAACATGGGGAGCCTGAGCAGGCCATGGCCCACTGCACATGTCCTGCAGGCCTGGCTGTGACAGCTGAGGGGATGGCAGCCACTGGAGCTGACGGAGCAGGAGGTGGCTGGGGTCGCCCCCAGGCACTGGCAGAGGCCAGGAAGGAGGCTCTAAGTGTCATCGGGGTGCAGAGCACTGGGCACCAGCAGGTGCCTGGCAGTGAGGTTAGGAGAAGGTGAGATCAGAGAAGGAAACTGAAGGGGCTGAGTCAGTGGAACAGGAGCAATGCGCAGAGCCGGAAGAGGTGCCCGAGGAAAACCCCGAGGGTGTGCGGGATGGAGTGGAAGTGCCATCCTTCGCATACTCGTCCCCACGGGTCTTGTTGCCAAAACCCCTCCTTCCCTGGCCCACTGTGCCTGTCCTCCTAGGTGCCACCTGCCACCAGGCACCCCGTGACTGCCCCGACCACTTCCCACAGGGTTCTTCAGACCTGCTTGCATTCCACTGATGGATGCCTTAGTGATCTGGGACAGAACAGGCTGGGATCAGCCTGGATGGGGGGGCGACCTGGTGGCTCAGCCCCCACCCCCACTATGAGATGTAACGGAACCAACCGGCCCTGCCCTGCCTGGTGTCTTCCCCAGGAGCTACAATCAGTCAGCGAGATGAAGAGATTAGGCTGAGGCAGGAAAGTACTCTTATCTTACACTGCTTTCCCCTCTTAAACTACTGGGTTTTCTAGTTAACGATTCAGCTGAACAGAAAATCTGATCAATCACTATGCCCAGGCCTCACTTTGCTCCCCACTGTGACTTTGTAGTTGCCCGCAAGGCTTCTGGGAGCTTCTTAGTGACTGACTGCGGGCAGCGATGCAACCCTGAGAGCGGCTCTGAGCAGGCCAAACTCACAAGGCTCTGGCTTTGCTTTTAAACCATGGAGATGCAAGCCTGTAATCCTGGAACCCTGGAGGCTGAAGCGGGCGGCTTGCTGAGAGTTTGAGGCCTGTCTGGATCACATAGTGAATTCAAGGCCAGTCTGGATCACATAGTGAAATCCAGTCTTAAAAAAGAGATTGGATCAATGTCAGCTATCACACACACCTCAGGTCACCGTGGACTTGGACACATGAGTACAAGGGCAGAGCTCATCATACTGCCATCATCTCCCTGGGACGCTGTCCTTCTGGATGCCTTGGCTCTCAAGGGCTCAGCCAGGACAGTGTCACTTGGCTCTGACCCCATCCCCACCCCAGCTCCCCCACAGCTTGGTGGGCAGCATCGAAGGTCACACAGCAGACTTGTCCAAAAAATAAGGTTTTATTGTCTTGGATGCAAATATACTTTTGAAAATGCATTGCAGTGTTGAGTCCAGCTGGTGGCAGCTTGCTTCCCAAAAGCAATGAGACAGGGCTGTGCTAGGGGACACACTCTGGGGGACCTTGGGTTACAGCCAACCCTTCCATTTGGTTTCTAGACCTCCAAGTGTCACCGAAGGAGCCCCGCAGTCACCAAAGCTCACAACAGGAAGAAGTGACCACATACACAGAGCTGCCCCGAGGAGATACAGAAGTGACAGGCTTGCACCTCCACCCCAGCCACAGGGAAGCCCCAGGCTGCACCCCTCAAGATAAGGGACAGAAACGTATAACAGGCCTATCTGTCCCCTGCCTGAGATGGCACCACTCAGCACACCCAAGCCGAGCCACGGCTGCGCCTGGGGTTGAGCCTGGAACCCGAGTCAGCCAGGGAGATAGTGGTGAATTTTGCTAAATAAGTGGAAGAATTTCACAAAAATAAAACTCCATGAACACACACACACACACACACACACACAGGGCTCGGCTGGGGGCAGTGCACACCAAAGTCAACATTCAACATAAAGAACGCCTTCTGGCTTCAGGAGCAGGATGCGTGGTGTGCAGGGCAGACGGCAATGGCGGAAAGGACCTCGTCCTCAGGTGCCTGGGAAGCAGTCAGGTTGTGTCCTGAGGCCATTTCTGCGTCTTTGGGGTAGGCCACCTGCCATGCACCCCAGGTGGTCGTGACCACAGCCCCCACTGCCAGGACCAGTGTCAGAGCACTGCTGCACACGCACATGGCCCCACGGTGGCCGGGAGCCCCAATCCCCTTACACATGCCGGCCAGGGCATCCAAAAGTGGGTAGAGCCCACGGCACATCCCTCCGGCAGGGCGCCTGAGCTGCTGAGTCAGCGCTGCCCTGGAAGGCTACCAGGAACCGGCACGCAGCGTCTCGGGAGACGCACCAGGAAGGCCTCAGCAGAGGTGCGGAGCTCCTCAAAAAGTAGGTGAGGACAGAAGGGGAAGTGAGTGGGGAGAAGACGCGGAGCCGAGCCGGGGTGAGGCCCCTGCCCCACCCCCACCCCACCTGTGGAGGCTGCTGCCAAGGCGGCCCAGCGACCTGGGTGTCCCCCTCCACTCCGGACCCCGCGCCTCATCCTCTGAGTCCACGGGGGCAGCTCAACCAGAGAAAGGCCCGCCGGGGTGCTGGAGCAGGGTGGGCCTGGCCCCTCACGGGGCGGGGAGCAGGGTGCAGGCAGGCCGAGGGCTGCGCGGAGTCAGCACCGACTCTGGAGGCCGCGCTGCTTCTCTCCTCGTGCAGTGGAAAACCACGGGCTGCGGGGGCCTCTCCTGAGGGGACCCCCAGGCGTGGCTACCGTCAACTCAGAAAGCCCCATGCCACAGCCGTGCGCCACTCCCACCTCCCACTCATAGTGAAAGAACACGAGGCGCCGATGGCCCCAAGATTTCACATAAATCCGGGATTGTGTGGGTGAGGTGGGCAGGAGTGCGAATGGTGACCTGAGACCCTGCGCGCTGACCCGGGACGGAGGCCCAGGCAGGCGAAAAGCGGTGGCGAGGCGGGTGGGCAGCGTGGTTCCCCGTGGCCACGGCGTGCGTCAGCACCAAGTGAAATGAATCAAAGTCAGTCTCAAAACAGCTCGCCTGGGTCAGCCTGCCAGGACGCACACACATGCGCGTGCACACGCACCCCCCAGCGGTCGCAAACACCTCAGGGAAACAGAACCGCACAGTAATTCACCAAAGGGAGAGGCTGGCCCGAGAAGCAAGAGGCCAATTTTATATCCCGTGGAGTTTAAAAAAGTCACTCCCAGAGGCAGGGAGAAAGCTAGTGATCCGGAGGGCCCTGGCCAATGGCCACTGCGTCATCAGCGTGTCACAAGGCACGGGGGGGGGGAGCCCCAGGCTCAGGCCCTCTGCAACATTTGGATTTTCCTTTTCCTGCCTACCCCAGTGGGCCACTGACCACAGTAGCCTCGACCTGTGTGTCCCTGGGGTGAGGGACCAACCCACTGCCATTATCCAATGGAAACCCCAAGTCTGCACCCCGTGTGCACCCCTCAGTCTGTAAACACGTTTTCAGGGGTGACTGAGGGGTGCCACCAAGCTGCTCCTTTGTGGAACAAAAGTGCAGATGGGCCACGGTCCACACGGTGGCACTGCTGGTGGCCAAGAGACGCCGCCCTGCCTTTCTGTCCTCCACTAGTAAGGTGAGCAGGGGCTGGGGTCCAACCAGGCCTCAGCACTGAGCCTCCAGGACTGGTGGGGCTCTGAGTGGAGTGGAGCTTCGGGGTGACTGGGGTGCTGAGGTGTGGAGTGCACAGTGCACAGGAGGAAAGCTGGCTGGCTGCTGGGGACATCCCAGCAGGATGGAGGAGGCACCCTGGCTGGGCTCCCTGAGGGCAGTGTGTCACCTGCACCTGCAGCCACTGGCAGGGGGTACAGGGGGCACCTGCTGGTCGCATGCAGCTCCACTCCCTGCCCTCTGGGCCCTACGGTCCTGCCTGTCGGGGTGGTGACAGCTTCCTTCTGAAGACCAGCCTGGTCTGGGGCTCTCAGCTAAAACATGAGATGACCAGGCCTTGGTGGCAAAGTGGAGTGTGACCTTCCACAGCCAGGATGGAGGTGGACCTGTCCCCAGAGAGTGGCAGCGATGGAGGCAGAGAGTGGGTGGCCGCTGCTGGGTCACGTGGGGATCCTGTGCCACGGCCAGGCAGCACCAGGTGGGGTACAACGAAGCAGCAAGCCCAGCTGGGAAAGCGCCACCCTTCTGCTGGGGGCGGAGGATCGACACACGTGTGGGGAGCCTGATGGGAAGGCACTTCCTTGCGGGAGTCTGGGTCCCCCACAGTCACACCACTGGGGCCCTCCTGCAGCCAGAGCGTGTGCAGACCTGCAGGGCCGGTGGACAAGGACGTGACAGGGGCAAGTCTGTAAGTCTCAGGGTGGGCTTGAGGGGGACCGTAGGTACCCCACCCACAGGAGCAGGCTGTTTCTCTGTACCATCTGCTCCCTCCCTGGGGAGGATGGGAGAGCCAGGCCACGATTCCCTCCAGAGAGCGGAGACGGATAGCTGAGGTCGCTGCATGAGGTCACAGCAAGGTCCCCATGGGGGGCTATCACTGTGGGCAGGCCCCGGGCCTGCTTTAGACCTGAGTGTGGATCCTGATGGCTCAAGGCCCAGGAGGTGAGGAGACCCGAGGCTGGGCATCAGGAAGGCAGGGAGGGGTTGTGAGCCTCTCACCATGCGCCAGCCACAGGGCTAGGACTCCCCCGACCGCGGGCCGACCCTGGTGACAGCCTCAGACGCCTGCTCCGGCAGCTGGGATGGGTCTGTCAGGATGGAGGTGGTGGTGCTCAGCTGCCGGAGGGTGCTCAGCACCACTGTAAAACAGGGTCAGCGGTAGGGTCAGTAGGGATTCGAGGGTGGGCATCGGCACACAGGCCATAGGGCGTGATAGCCACAGAGCCCAGGTGCAGGGAGGCCCCCAGTGGAGACCCAGCTCATCACAGGGCAGCTCCTGAAATCCTAGGGAGCAGCCACCCCCAGTACTCCAACCTACTGGGCCACCACAGCGCTCACACCCTCATTGTTGGCCCCACTCTTCAGGAACGGGGGTGTCTGTTATTACCAGAATGGACCCTCGGAGCCCCACCAACAGCAAGTACTCAGCAAGGCAGGATTTGATCAAATGGGGGGCACCATGGCTGCGCCCTTGAGCCCTGTGGCTGCCTCCACCATGGCACTCCAGCCCGGGGCCACCCACACAGCCTATCAGAATCCCCCAAACGCCCCTCACCAAGGGGCCTCCCCGCCTCAGGCCCAGCACCCAACTCACTTGGCCTGAGGACAGGCAGAGAGCAGTGCTGGTCCAGCCAGGACAGTGCCGTGCGGTGCAGCTCCTCCAGGCTGCTGGTGGACACCACACCCTTGAAGGACTCAAACAGCGGCTTGATGATGATGCTGAACTGCGGGTCTCGGTTAAGGAAGGGGGGGAGCAGGGCCTGAGCTATGGGGTGGGGTAGGGTCCTCCCTCCCCTGGGCTGGTCAAGTCCTTTGTGTGACCAGATGCTGTGTTCCAACTATGACAGGCCACTCAGCAGCCAGGAGCCAGGACCTGGGTCTTTGGTCTGGAAGGTGACTACAAAGGCATGTACACACAGTTCCATGTGATGCCAGGGCATGCGCAGGTCTGAAGGAGACGCCGTCTAGAGGTGGTGCTTGTCTTTCCCATTACAGCAGCTGGTTTGGGCAGCACTTGGTCACCTCACAGGACCTGGGCATACCTGCCTGCTGCGGCCAAGCTGGCGTAAGTGTGCACCATTCGGAGTGGAGGCTGAGTAGGCACCCCAGGGCAGGGGTCGGCCTAGTACCCAGCTGCATGTGCTCTCACGACACCACAGGCCAGGTGGCACATGGCGCCTGCGGTTCTGTGCACCTTGCTTTCTGCCTTCCACAGCAGTGGGGATGGCTGTCAGACCCTTTCCTGCCACCCTGCTGCTCTGCTGTGGCCCCTCCTGCAAAGCGCCCTGGAAGCCCCTGTGGACACCACTGCCGACCGCAGCCCCACCCCGCAGAGCCCGGCCAGGCCCACTCTGAGACAGAGGCTGGCCCTGTCTGTCCCAATGGGCCGGGACGACCTCAGGAAGAGCGTCTCTCTGCAGACGCTGTGTGCACAGCCTCTGAGGGGACGGACGGGTGAGGACACTGCAAAGATACAATCCAGAACTTCCAATTCTGCAGCGTCCGGCTCTTCACATATTCGTCAAACATGTCTGTCATGTGGTCGACCTGGCGCGGGGTGACCGAGACCCCTGAGGCGGGAAGCAGCTGCTGGCAGGAACTGAAACAACGGGAGGAGTCAGGGGCAGGACGAGGGCAGAGCAGGAGCTGGGGCACCAGAGGGCAGAGGAGCTGTGGGGAGGGAGGGGACCAAGCCAGGCCTCACATGATGGTAGCGTTGAGCTCCTCGATCTCCTCCCGCAGCCGCCGTGCCTCCTCCTGCATCTGGCTGCGCTCCTGCTGCAGCTTGGTGATGTACTCCACGGTCTTCTGCAGTGTGATGGCGTGGCTGCTCTGCAGGGACAGGCAGCTCAGTGGCGACCTGGGCAGCGCGTCCTGTACCCTGCTCTGCCGTGCTTGGGCGACTCACCGGCTTGGAGTTGTTGGAGATCAAGCTGTTGAGGGTGTTGAAGCCCATCTTGATGTTGAAGCGTCGCTTCTGTTCGGCTGAGATGTGCTTCAGCTGCTGGTTCTGTCGGGGAACTGACCGGTCACTGAGAGGAAGGCCAAGACCTGGCTCCGAGCCCCTCCCTCCTCGACACCTGGCTTGATGCCAGGTGGCCGCAGGCAGATGGCCCTGGCCTGTGGGGCAGGTGGGCTGGAGAGCCAGGGAGGGATAGCACACCACAAAGGGCTCAAAGGCAGCCAGGTGCGGTGGCACGAGGATTCCAGTTTGAGAGAAGCCTGAACACCTCAGAGACCTTGTCTTGAAAAATGGAAGGGCGGGCATGCAGCTCGGCGGTAGCATGGCTGCCTGGCAGGTGCAAAGCCCTGGACCCCAGGCCCAGGCAGGTGCAAAGCCCTGCACCACAAAATAAAAATAAAAAGCTAGACGGCTCCAGTGAGCAGGGGTGGGGTGGGAGGACAGGCTGGGGAGGGCGGCCCCCGACACACCTCCCCAGCCTCCTCCTCCCTGTGGCAGGAAGGAGCAGAGAGCAGACCCCGTCACCATGTTCAGCCTAGGGAGAAGGCAAGCAGGGGCCGAGCTGCTCTCCTGCCCCAGGCTGGGCAGTACTGGCCAGCTCTGCCCTCCCTTCCAGGTAACACAGCGTTCCCAGAGGTTCTTTGATTTCTTCTCCCCGCCCTCCCCAGAGACCTGGCATACCTTTAATACAGACATGTTTTTGGGGTTTGCAGATTTCCCTGAGCAGTTGTTCTGGGGAGACTGAGGACTGGGGCTTTGCTCCGATGCACATGGAGAGGCCTGGCCTGAGTTCAGGCCATCACGACCTAAGAAGAGGGGGCCGTCACAGGCAAGAAGTGAGCTGCACAGGTCAGGGGCCCTTGCAGAGGGGCAACCCCGCAGGGGTGGGATTCGGAAGCCTGTTTTTAACCTCTGATCCCACCCAGGGCCAAACTGAGAAAGCCACGCCCACATCCCAAAAGGATGTGGCACACATGACATGCAATTAGATGTGTGGTGGTGGTGGCAGCTGGGCTCTGCCATCCAGGTCAGAGGGGCAGCCAGGGCCTCCAGAGTGGCCTGGAGCCACTGGTTCCCAGCCTGGTGCTGGACACACTAGTGTCTGCCACCGCTCTTTGGGTTCCACACACATGCTCACTTTCCTAAACTGTTCCTAGCCGTCCCCTGCCACTGCTCTCTAACCACGAAGGCAGGACGTGGCAGACCCGAGACCTCCTCAGGGCCTGCTGCAGTCACCCATGTGTCGAGAGACCCGCTTTCCTGTAGCAATCTCCCAGGTTCACCCACACCACGGGACTCTCCCTAACCCTGGCAGCCCTCACGGCACAGCTGAGGCCCACGTTTGGCTGTGGGCGGGCCAGCCTGTCTCTGCAGCCAGGGGCCATGGTACGCCACGTGCTGGGGACCACTCAGATGAGGCTTTACAGCCCCACAGCAACAATGACCCTAGGTCAGTGTTTTCTGGAAACTGCCCACAAAACTCGTCAGTCCCTTACTGCATGAGATCAGGGGCTCCAGGGTGGGCCTCTCTGAGTAACCAGTTAAGAATGGCTCCCCGAGAGCCTGGCGTGGTGACACATGCCTGTATGCTTAGCAGTTGGGAGGCTGAAGCAGAAGACTACCATGAATTTGAGGCAGGCCTGGACTACACAGCCAGACCCTCTCTCCAAAAGCCAAAACGCGTAAGTAAATAAATACAAGTACCAGGTCTGTAACTGTGACATTTACGCTAAGCACATCCCCAGGCCATGCCACTGCAGGGACACTCACCGGGCCCTGTGGCAGGGACCTGGGGGCTGCCCCCTCGAAGTGGGGCCTGCTCCACCTTCACCAGCGAGTCCTGCACGATGCCTGGGGAGAAGAGCCGGGAGACGGGGGCCGGCTGGCTGCTTGAGCTGTGGCCGAGGTCTGTCACCAGGATGCCACTGTGGAATTCGGTGACTCCAGGAGCCTGAGGTAACATGGCAAAGAGGTTATCCAACTGCTGATGCATAGCAGATCAGGGCGGTCACACTGGTGAGGGCTACCCAACTGCAGGCCGACCTGGGGTCCGAGGGGCAGCACAGGTGCACTGGGCCCCCTCACCCTGGGGATGGAAGCAGGTGTGATGACCACGCCGGGCTGGGATACTGTGGACGCCAGCATCCCTTCTCTCTTGAGAGGGCCGGACGTCATGATCACTGCTTGTGGGTGGCCTGGGAAGGCAGCTGCTGGGGAGGAAGAGGAAGTCAGGCCTGAGCTGGCAGGGCCCGGGCAGCTCCTGGCTCAGCGGCCTGGCGGTAAACGGGGTGGTCAGTGGGCATCCTGCTCCATCCCATGGCGGGCAGGGCAAAAGTGCCACCAGGCCAGGGAACTCTGCTTTGTGACTTCTTGGTGGTGACTCATTCCAGACTCCAGAGAGAGTAATCAGGACCATGTTTTCCGACTCTGGGATGTGACTTTTAAAAGATACAAAGCAGAACATGGAGCAGATCACATACACAGGTTACCCATGACATTCTGCTTCATTTAAATGGGGGGGGGGACCTCATGTATCTGACAGCCCTGACAGGGACACAGCCCTCCTGGAACCTCAGACTGGCTGGGGTGCCCCCTGGACTCACCTGGGGTCAGGTGCGTGCTCTTCAACACCAAGGACATGGACTCGGGTTTTGGGGCAGGCACTATTTTGAGGGGCTGCTTAGGCCTCCCTCCAGTCAAGGACACAGGTTTGGGGTGTACAAAAGTTAAACGAGTCTGGGAAGACCCGATGGCCGGTGGCTGGGGGACCGGTGACAGGGTGAGGGGGCAGGGGGATGGCGAAGGTGGCGGATGGGGGGCTGCGATCACAAGGCCCTGGCTCTGGCTGAAGGTGGTGGTGGCAGCTGCGTGGGTGAGGGTGGTAGAGGCTGTGTGGGTGATGACGGGGGGAGGCTTGCTGAGCCCTGAAAACCTCGGCAGCTGCTGGAAGGCAGGAGGTGCAGGGGGCGTTAGGGCTGGACCAGGAGGGGGCACTGAGGGAATCCCAGGTGGACTGGGCGTCTGGGTGGGGCCGGGGGAGAGCAAGGGCATGGGGAAGACGGGGAGGAAGGGCTGTGCAACGCCCAGCGGCGATTCTGAGGGAGTGAAGTCCGGGGACTGCAGGAAGGGGTCCCCAGGCTGTGAGGCACGGTCACAGCCCTGACTGGCCGAAGGCTGGAGGGGGGGCCCCACGGAGGGCGCGATGAGACTGTCGGGGAGGCTCACGGTAGGCAGCGCAGTGGCCGGCAGGATGCTGTCCTGTGGGAGGAGAGAGAACTGAGGCCAGTGCAGACTGCTCGAGGTCACAGGCTACGAGGTCCAGGGAGGGGGCACCTGGGACCACAGCGCAGTCCCTGGGCTGGGGACTTAGCTCAGCGGCACAAGCGCCTGCTTTGCAAGCAGGCAGTCGTGAGTTCGATCCCCGGTACCGATAAAAAGGAAAGAGACAAAAAAAACAAAACCACACAGATGTGTACTCGCACAGCCCCGAAATGGCCCTGGCTGCCCAGGGAGTCCGGTTTCTAGTCCCTAGGGGCTCCCTGGCTTCCAGGGTTCTATTATACCAAGAGGTGGCCGGGCCCAGCTGCTCAGGGCCCCCCCAGGGTAGTGTCGGGTATCGGCTTCTCGAAAAGCAGGAAGCACTATGAGCTCGAGTGCGGAGCCCAAGCTCCCAAACCAGAGCCGGAGTCCCCGGTTGTGTGGGTGTGGGGCTGGGATACAGGGTTGAGCAGGCATGGCCCTAGCCAGGGGCCCAGCACATGTGCCAGCTTCTGTAGGCTAAGTGACAAGTGAAAGACGCAGAACTTGTTTTCATTAGAGGCCCGGCTGTCGCCTCTGCCTGGCTGACACTGCCTGGGTAGACACAGCCTTGGGCAGGAGCCCAGGGTTTGGGGTGCTCGGAAGAACATGCTCTTGCTTTTCACACTGTGCCTGTGCTCAGTGCCAGGTGTAGCAGTGCCCACACACTGTTAGGAACTCTATGGCTGTGCACCAGCCTGGCCCTGCTGTTAAGCATGTGGCAGCTGTGCCCATGCCCTCCCCTACCTCGGCAGGTGAGCTGCTGGCATCTGGCACAGGCGCTGAGGCGGGCACAGGCGGCACGGAACCGAAGATGGCACGGCTGGCAGAGAAGAGGTCTGAAAAAGAACGCAGGGGCTTCTGAGCATAACTGTGCTCCACTTCCTGGAATTAAGGTGCAGACAAATGGCAGCCTGAACCCTGTCTTACCTGAGGGATGCCCTGGGCACAGGGCATCCCCCTAAATAACGTTTTCTGGAGAGGGAGGTGTCAGGCGGGAGCCACATGTGTGCCTGTAACACACTCCGGGACCCTAAGCGACTGCAGGAGACTGCAGCGCCCCCTGCTGCTGAGAGGGAAAACAGCTCCCAGCACAGTCAGAGAGGGTACTGTCCCAGGCAGTTCCCAGGTCTGCAAGTCACTACAAGACTGTAGCTGTGGAAAACTCTGAGTCCTCCCTGCCATCCAGGCCTCTCCCGGGTCCTCACCCTGGAAAGGCTCGAAGGTGTCCATGAAGTCCAGGTTGGGCTGCAAGGGGATCAGCCCCGGCTGGATCATGTCTGCGTTCCCCAGATGAGCTGCAGGGAGAGGGAGAGAGAGCCCGCACTATGCGGCACAGCCTGAGGGCAGCGAGGAGCCTGTGGCTCTGCTGTTTGCTTGCTGGCTTGGGAGGGAGGGTCTGGCTTTGTTGCCCAGGCTGGCCCACAACTCCAGGGCTCAAGCAACCCTCCCGCCTCGCATCCGAGTGGCTGGGACTGCAACTGTGCACCCAGCTGAAGGCGAGGAAAGGGCCAGCGTGGAGGCCAGGAGGAGTGCCCCTGAGACCCAGCCCTCGGCTTCCCCTCCTGCTCTCACTGTACCCCGGGGGCTCCTCCCTGGGGGCTGACTGAAGCCTGAGAGTCACCGGAGGTGGTTGTGCCCACAGGGGCTTCCATGTGGCCCTGCTGCCTAGGCCCAGGCCCTGAGGCTACAGCACTTGAAGCTGAACCTGGTCTGGCCCGCCTCCTGGGGGTTCCTCAGTGACACCCAGCGAGTTGTAGGATCTGGAGTATCCAGCCACTCAATGCAGGCGGCCCTCAGAGGTTGGCCGACCTGGCTCCTGTCTCCCTGGCCTAGACAAGTGACAGGCTGCAGCTCCGAAGGGAAGCCCGGCCTCAATGCCCAGGCAGAGGAGGTTACCTATTTCCCGAGGGTTGGGCCAGGCCACCGGTTGGTGTGAGGAAAGGGTAGAAAAGAGGGTGTCGCTAAACTCCGACATAAGCATGTCTGTGTCCAGCAGCGGGTCCTCCTCCATGGGCACTGGGGTCTTCCAGCCATCCCCATGTTTGTGCCAGTAAGGCATGTCATCGTCCTGCCACCAAAGAGACAGCATCAGAGGGCTCAGTGGAACCTGGAAGGTTACAGGGCTGCTCGGTGATACCGAGGCCAGTGCGTGGAGATACTCAGTGCCCCCTCCAGGTCACCTGCAGAGAATGCCACTCTGCAGAGGATGAGGACTTCCTGGGAGAGGGCAATGTCCCATCCCTGTCCCACTACCCAAGCCAGGCAGGACCCCAGGGGCACGCACCTGGGCCAGACTGGAAAGGTCCTCATCTTTGTGCTGCTGCAGCTGGGGACAAAGGGCGGGGTGAGGTTGCACTGAGTGCCAGGGAGCTGTGAGGTCCCCCTGGGCCCCCGCAAGCCAGCCTCATCATTCTGGGGGCAGCCAGGAGAGGGAGCTTACTTCCTGCCCTCCACAAGCTGAACAGAGGAGAGGTCTGGGGAGGACACGGGTCAGTCTGCAGTAGGGAAACTGAGCCATGGCTCCAGGGACAGTGCTGTGAACCCGAGCACCACACGCCCCGCCCTGCCCCACCCCGCCCCTCCCAGGGCTTCCCAAGCTCATACTTTTGGGAGCCCCAGGCAGCAGATACCCTTTTCTTGAAGTAGGTCCTCCACTTGTGGTACTCCCGGATCACGATCTCAATGCGGCTCTTCCAGTACTTCCCCTCAGTGGTGATGGCCTGCGACAGAGAGACCACACTGGAGGGAAGTGACCTGAGTGACCAGCAGACACAGCCCGGGAACACAGAAGCAGCAGTGGACACTCAGAGGGGCATCAGGAGATGCCCTGCACACAGCTACACCCTCGTTCTCAAAGCCTGTCCTATGGCCTCTGTGCTACAGCTGGCTTTCGGTCTCAAAATGCATCATTTCAAGACGTGAGATGTCCAGGGCGGTGTACATGTGTGCATGCGTGTGTGCGCTGACACGTGTATGTGTGTGTCTGGGTCCTGAGGCTGTGCCCTGGGGTCCACGGTCAATGCAGGGTACTCATCCTGGGGAGGTCCTGAGGTGAGGAATATTACTGACACCGATGGCAGCCCACACACGTTACAGCAGCCTCTGCCCTGCATCTGAGGGTGAGCATAGCGTACACCCCAAGAGCCTTGATCAAGCGCAGCCCACCCGCCTGGCACGTGTCTCGCCTGCAGACCTGACCTCTTAGGCCACACACTTCACTGTGTGTCTGAAACAGTGAAGGATCAGATTGTAAAACCAGGCTCCCCCGGCACCACCCAAAAAAAGAAGAAAAAGCAGTATTTATCTGAACTGGGATGTAGCTCAAACAGCAAAAATAGGATTACAGTATTCCTACCACACCTAGCGGGAATATATTCCTTGATACCATCAAATGCCAGCTTCTACTCAAGAGGGAAGAACTGTTTTACTGGTCACTTTTAAAGCTTCCCTTTTTACTGTAACAGTGAGACATGATTAGACACACACAGACACACAGACAAGTGTAAATGGAGGTCTCCCCTCCTCCTTTGAGACCTGCACCCTCCTGAATCTTGTATTCTACAAGAAGAACCTGGGAAAATTTCTTTTTATCTGCTGAGGCATTTCCTTTGCATGTAAGATTGAGGAACACATTTCTTTTTTTTTGTTTTGTTTTGTTTTTGGTCTTTTTTTCTTTTTATCGGTACCGGGGATCGAACTCATGACTGCCTGCTTGCAAGGCAGGCGCTTATGCCGCTGAGCTAAACCCCCAGCCCCCGAGGAACACGTTTCTAACAAGAATATAAATGTACTAAAAGTAGTGCTATACAACTGGTTTTGATTTAATGGTACTAGAGACTAAACCCAGGGCCCTTACACTGAACTACACCCCCCCCCAGACGTTTCTCTCTCTCTTTGTCTCTCTCTCTCTCTTTTAAACTTTTATTTTGAGATAGGTTCTAAGTTGACCAGGCTGGGTTTGAACTTGTGACCCTCTTGCCTCAGCCTCCCAGAGAGCCAGGAGTACAGGTGTGCAACACCGTACCCGGCTAGCAACTGGCTTTAAAAATATTTACTCTTCAACCTTTTTTCATGTCAGTATCTAAAGGTATCCCGGTCTCTTTAATTGTCAAATAAGTCTTCAAGCAAAGTGTGGTTGTGCACACCTATAATCCCAGTACTCAGGAGGCTGAAGCAGGACAGATGCAAATTCTAAGCCAACCTATACTACATAGTGAATGCTGCCCAAAAAAGAAAGGAAGAAAAGAACAGGAGAAAGACACTGCTCAGTTCATCTGCCTTACAAGCAGCCAGACTCCCCCCAGAGGGCTCCAGAAGGCAGACCAATGTCAAGGGGGAGCAGAGGGGCCAGGGAGTCAATCCAGGTTGCACAGCTCGGCATCTCCCACTACAGCCACCTGTGACCCCACAAGTACCTCTGGCCGGCGGTGCTCATCGACTTCCACAGAGCCGTCCAGCGGGGTGACAAAGTGGCACACAGGGTTCTTGCGCTTCTCCAAATCTGGGCAGAGACAGGGGAGATGGCATCACTGCTCCGAGAGCCTGTCCCGCACACCAGAGGGCTCAGGGGGGCAGAGACACCAGGTGCACAGCAGGGGACAGGACACTGGAGCGCTGCCATGGGAGCCCCTCCCCACTCTTCACAGCCCTGAAGGACCGGCCCTGCCTCACTCCTCCTCAGTTGGGGCAGCCCGAATTACTGAGCGCTCCTGTGTGTGCTCAGGGGCCGGACAGAGCCACGCGCTTACACTGCATGTACCACGCCCGCCAGATGGCGTTGTTGAGCCGGATCTTGTCCCTCCACTGCAGCTTCAGGCCCTTGAAGTTCTTCCACTTCGGCGACACCAGCTTCCCACTGGAAGGCAAGACTGGGGTGAGAGTCGGCTTCCCTGGAAAACGAAGTGGCAGCAGAGCTCTTGCCCGACCCCTCAGCAGCCACAGGCCAGGTGCCGCCTCCCCGGCACTCGGGCTTCCCCAGGCACGGGGATGGCACCCCGCGGCAAGGCCTCGCCTCCTGGCTACTCTCCACAAGCTTTTACAGTTTCCATAATTAAACATTGAAAAGAAAGGTGCTGGGGGCTGGGGATTTATCTCAGCAGCATAAGCACCTGCCTTAAAAGCAGGCGGTCGTGAGTTCAATCCCTGGTACCAATAAAAATGAAAAAAAAAAAAAAAAAGAAAGAAAAGCTGCTGTCCACTAGATGAGGAGGCTGCTATTTCAAGCTGTGCAGGAAGGAGATGCCCTGCTGTTGCTCAGGGCCCAGGGAGCCTGGACCGCAAGTGCTTCTAACTCACTCGGAGGGTTACAAGGCACCCACGGCCTCCCGGCTATCAGAGGGGCTCCAAGCATACCTGGCCGGTCAGTGTGACCCAGTCTCAAAAACTAGAAAGGGCCAAGGGTGTAGCTCAGGTAGCTTGCCTTGGCTGGATCCCCAGCCCTGCAGGCGGGGCTGGAGCAGTAGCCCTGGCGGCCTCTCCTGTCACTGCCCAAGATGTGTCCTGCCTCCTCTCCCCTAGGACAGTGCTCTCTGACACTATGCACGGCGACCCATGTGCTGCAGCACAGGGAGGATTTGGGGCCTCGCTCGCTAATTCTCCTGAGCTCTGGCAGGCTGGATGACAGCAGGAAGGGGAGCTCCCTGGTGGCACAGCCTTCTTGGAAGGTTCTACTTTCCAGGTGCTGTGCCAGAGCCACCCCTGAAGGGGCCCTTTATTTCAGTCATTTGAGATGAACAAGCCACTGGGTTTTTTGTTTGTTGTTTTATTTTTGCACTACCAGAAATTGAACTGAAGACCTTTGCACTGAGCTATATACTAGCCCTTTTGAATTTTTTGAGACAGTGTCTTGCTTAGTTGCCCTGGCTAGAGTGAACACAATCCTCTTGCCTCAGCCTCCCAGAATGCTGGTATCAGAGGTATGCCCCACCATGTTCAGCCACAGCATTATCTTTAGTCCATATCAAAGAGAAGTTAGAAGTGTCACCTCTTGGCAGGCCACAGCCCTGATTTTCTTCAGATCTACTAGGGAGGCCACATGGCAGGCACAGACGTGCCACAGCCAAGCTGCTGGAGTCTTCAAGTAAACATCGAGAAGATCTACAGCTTGGCTAGAAAGCACCTGGTGAACCAAACCTGCTCTCCTGATCCAAGCCAGCAAAGAGCCCCAACTTCAGCTTACATCATCCGCACAGCTGGGGCTCTACCATCACCACCATGAGAGGTCACAAGGCAGCTCTGTGGGGGGATGCAAGGTGGGTCGGAAGCTTCGGGACTCACACTCCTGCTTGCCTCCACAGCGGCTCTCCCAAGGTGAATCCGGCCACCTCCACTTCACAGGCCAGCCCCCACCTCTGCTCCCAGGACAGCTGAGGTCAGAGCCCCCTGCTTGTGGCACCCCTCAGGGCACCTCTGCAAGGCCCTGCCTCTGCCTGCTTAAAGTCACAATGTTGCTGTGTAAGGACCAAATGAGAGTGTGTATGCAGTGCATAAAAATTCAGAGCCTGGCAAACCTAAGGCAAAGATAAGAAGACATCAATAACCGTTTCACTGCTCAGACCTAAGTTATTGCTGAAAGTGTGCCTTCTCTTTTCTTTTTTTGTTTTTTTTTTTTTTTCTGGAAATCACACTCAAGACTTCTCGCTTGCCAGGCAGGTGCTGTGCCAGTGAGCTAAACCCTTAGCTCCTGGAACTGTGCTTTCAGACAAATCCTCCTGACTGGAGAAGTCCTCATGCTCGCCACACTGCCATGCAGCGGGCTCTGCTGCACACACCTCGTGCCCTCCTCCAGAGCAGCCACAGAGGCTTCTGTACCAAGTGACGTTTAAGCTGCGGCCGGGGCAGGGAGGCCCATGCTTCTCCTTCTCTTGGCCGGTGACGGTGCTGAGCAGGCTCGAGAGGGACCTGGTCAGGGGAGGGAAACCCCAAGTAACCGGACAGAGGGCACCACTGGCCATTGCTCCCACCATGGACAAAGCTAGGTCTCTTCCTTGCCTGTGCAGGGTTTGCCAGCAGCCGATGCCTGGTGAGGCAGGTGATTCTCGGAAGCAAAAAAGAAAACAAAACCGGAGCCAGGCATGGTGGCCTCCATCTGTAATCTCAGCACTATGGGAGGCTGAGGCAGGAAGATTACAAATCAGAGTCCAGCCTAGGCAGCTGTCTCAAAAATAAAAAATAAAAAGGGCTAACAATATGGTTTAGTGAGAAGGCCTGAGTTCAATCCTCAGTACAAAAAGAGGGGAGAGGAAGGAAGTAGAGGAGGGAAGGGAGGGGAGGAAAGGCAACGAAAGGAAAAGGAATGAAAACCAGCCGGGTCTGGTCCTTTCATTTCCTTCAGGGGAAACCAGAACCCCAATCGGAACCGTTTCCTGCCTTGCACTGCAGCCAGGATTCTTAGCACCCCAGCGACCAGGCCTTGGCCCCTGCTGTGGCTGTGGAGGCCCACTCGGGGCAGGGCTGTGAGGGACTGGCTTGCTGGGGTGACACGGTCCGTGTAGAGCTAGCGGCAGGGCTGCACACACAGTCGGAGCCGCGCCCCAGTCTGCCTCACCAGGCGGAGGAGGACCAGAGACCCCAGCTGGGGGACCTCAGTCTAGGGCTCCGTGCTGCCTCTCCCGCGTGGCATCATTTCCCTCTCGCCCGTGTTTCTGTCACATTCAGTCAAACTCTGGCAGGAACTTACTCAGGGGTCCTGGACCCGGAAACACCCCGGTTTCTGTCCTACCCATGGCCAGCAGGTGGCACCCTACAGACACACAAGCAGGACCCAGCGCGAAACAAAAGCCCTCAAGCAAAGCCACCGAGGGCAGAGCAGGCCACTGCCACAGCGGTTCTGTGATACGCAGCCTCACATGGGGACAGCCCCAGGCACTGAGAAGGGAGCATGGGACAGAGTCTTGTCTCTCCCCCGGGCCTGCAAGTCCCACCACCCAGGCCCCATCTGGAGGGAGGAGGAGGAGCCATTTCTGTGTAGACACCAGGAGGCCTTTCAGAGCTGCCCAGGTCTCCTTGCCCACTAAACACACTCTGAGGCTGACTCTGTTACTCTCTCACTGCTGGGACAGAACACCCGACACCCACGAGTTAGGTCCATTTGGCTCACAGCTTCAGGCCGCAGTTGGCCGGCTCCAGGCAGGGGCAGGGTGGGCAGGAAGCGGCAGCAGCATGGAGCCTTCCCGTCCCTTTGGTCCCACCCAGGCCACAGCCCGCTGGGTGGTGCCACCCAAGTCGGGTGGGCCTTCCAGGGCCCACACCCAGGACTACGCTAAGCCCATGGGTAGGCTCAGTTATCACACAGCCTTAATCCACATTCGCACATCCCCAGCTCTGAATTCTGTGAGCACATGAGGCTCTGGGGACCTCTCGACAAAAGCTGTAACAGAGGTGCTACACTCAGGCTCCACAGGAAGGAGCAGAGCTGTCAAGGGCTCTGGCTGGACACCTGCTCCTGCCCCGTCCCAGCAGGCTCCACTTCCACATAATGCTGACCGGGATGCTTTCTGGTCCAAATGATTCCTTCTTCAAAGTATAACCAGAAACACTGATGGAGGTTTTGGGGAGACCCCTGGATTCTCCTCATCCCAGTGCTCCCTTCACAGTGCACCAGGGCCACCCCCAGGTGTGATACTGCATATCACGGAACTGTTGTGGCAGTCGTCCCTCTGTGCCTAGAGAGGTCCTACTCCAGCCTTTGCCCTACCTGTGCCTGTGCCGTGCCTGCAGCACAGGCCAGCCCAGGGGCAGTGCCTGAAGTCCAGGTGCCCCCTGAAGTCTGCCCAGCATCCTGTCGATGGCCACCCCTCCTAGAGGGGATGAAGGTCCCTCAGAACTGCTGGATGGAGCTAGCAAACCATGAAATTTTCCAAGGTCTGGCAAGAGACTGCCTGGGAATAGAAGAAGATTAAACTGGAAGCCTTCTGAGGATGGATGGAGAGGGCGAGGGAACGGGCGGCTAGTGAAGTGCAGGGGAGGGCGGGGCTCCTCATTGAGATTCTCTTCCAAAAGAAGCAGACAGGAGGATGGTTCCTGTCATGGGCCTCAGGGTCCTTTTGTTTGTTCAACCAACCACGTGTGTCACCCGACATTTCTCCATCCCCCTGATGCTGCCTGCCCATCGCCTCCTCTCCCCAGCCCCTGCTTGGGTCTCCACCGCATGGCTGGGTCACACAGGATGGCCCTCTGGGTCTGGCTTTGGAGCACATTTTCAAGGTTTCCCCACACTGGTCCAAGGACAGGAACAGGAAGCGGTAACCGATGTGGTGGTGCCCTCTGGAGGAGTGGAGGGGTGACAGGTCTTCAGTCTGCTTTCCACTCCATGGACAGACCGCACTGCACCCGAAGAGGCTGTGTTGGCTGTTTCCACCTCCAGGCTACTAGGAAGCATGCTGCCACCAGCAGACTCTTTTATTTCCCAACCATTTCAGAATTGGCAGGGGACAGAGGTTCTCATCACTGAGCTGACACTGGGGACACAGAGATGGGCAAAATCAGAGCCTTGTCGGAGGGCAAGGCTGTCTAGCACCTGTGGGCTGCGTGTCAGAAGGGCTTCCACCTCCACTGCACACGGGCACAGACGCTGAACACACACAGCACTGTGGCAGCAGAAGGCTAGGGACAGGCCAGCCATCATGGGGGGACCAGTTAGAGCACCGTGGTACATCCAGAGGGGAACTAACACGATGGGGAAACTAAAACCTGTACTTGTATGTGCTGACACATGGCAAGATCTGTATGGGGCACTGTCCTACAAAAAGTAAAACAGTAAAGCATGAAACACCCAGCACGGCCTCCACTGGTAACGCTGCCCGTGGACCCAGGGCCTCCACAGGCTAAGCACACGGCCTACCACTGCACCACGCT